TCTGTTGAAAGATTCCACTTAGTCTCCAGGTAACACCTACCTCTGTTGGGTCTAGCTGGATAATGGCCCATAGTGGTAATTCTTGGGTGTTTTAGAATTCAGCTCTCCTAGAGTTCACAGACATGCTAAATGACCTTCAATGCGGCCGATCTAAAAAGTGGACTCCACGACACAGCAGAATCTAAGGTTGAGGCAGAGCACTAACTGCCACATGTTCCTCACTTTGTAACCATCTGTAGGTACAGAGTGACAAGCCCAAGTCCCCAAAATGACACCCTCCCAGAAGCTCATCTGAGACAGCTCTCATGGCGAGAGGTGACTGACTCCATGAGGACTCTGGTCATGTTCCCCTGGCTGCCCTGAGAGACACAAGCCTGTAGAGTCTATGTCCATCAGAGCATTCTTGCTCATATATGCACCTCTAGCATATTGATTGAGAAATTCTGGGAAAGAAAACGGAACCCAGAAGCTTTGCAGATCTGTTTCATTTGGAACTTCCAGGGTCAGTGCTGAGATCTCTTTGTTTAGGAGATGTGGCCAGTGAGATTTAAAAGCAGAAACTTGACCTGAGCTACTACTGGCTGTTGCCAACCTCCCTTCCTGCCTATCCCACCTGGGCCCTGTCTGCCTCCTCTGGCCTATGGTCTTTTACTAGTGAAGTTATTATCACAGAAGTATTTTGCACATAGAGAGGGACAGAAAGACAAAACTAAAATAAAATTTCATTTTCAGAAAACTAGATGGTGAAAACACTCAGGTGGGTTACAAATGATACACAGGACTGAAAAATATGGCTCAATTGTAGAACATCTGCCAAGCTTGAAGAGGCCCTGGGTTCCTGGGTTGCATTGTTTATACACACACACACACACACACACGCACACACGTATTGAAGGCATGACATATGACTTGATAGTGATGAGGAAAAAGCTTGGTGACAGAATATCTAGGGAGAAGTGACATACTGAATGTACAGTACTGAAGATCTTGTTTTAAAAGACCCACATTATTTATGATGACTTTGGCCTCACAGGAGGACTGCAGAAAGGGAGGGCCTTTGTATAACAATGCTATCACATAGCTTAAGGGCCTTTCCAGCATTCTAACACTTAGGTTTTGTTACTTTCCCCTTAAATACATGGATTCAGTGAGGTTTGCCATCATTATTATAGATATTTACTACAAATTTATTGGTTATACATTTATGACACCTTAAGGACAACTTACCCAGAAGTAAATTGCAGGTACAGCAAAAATGACAAATGGTATGTTATTGTGGAAATATGAATTGTTTAATAAAAAATCCAGTTACTAAATGGTGGCTTGATATCATTTTTATTTCAATGATCAAATACACATTATAAACATACATATATATGTATATACACTTAGATAACACAGATGACAGATTGAGAGGCGAGAGACAGAGATCTAGAGGAGCAGAGGAGGAGGTCCCTCCTTCACATCTTATATCCAGTGACAGTAGAGTACTCAAAGAAAATAAAGACAGGTGAGTGGAAATACTGGGTTAACTGCAGTTATCATAAAGAGATGGAGCATGTTCATTTTCTAACCACTTTATGTCAGTCACATTTGCAATCTGTACAGTAAAACAGTTTCATACCCAAATCTTACATTGAAAATCACTTCCTATCCACCATTCATTTCCAATACAACATATATCAACATAGCATATTTTATCTTTAGCTCACATTTATTAACACTTGGCATAAAGCCAATAAATTATAATACTCAATAAAATCAACTGGGAGTTGCTAACTTTAATAAATTAAGTATGAAACAAAAGTGTATTACTAAGGAGCAGGCATTAAACATATATCCCTCAATAATTCCAAAGACACCCTAATTTCAGCACCAAGAATTTCACAAACTCTGGTTACCTTTACACAGTTACCACTCTATGTAGCACAACATTTCAAACTAGCAGTATCACACAACATTTTAAAATAAAGGAGCTTGGAAAAGCCTCCAGTTCAGCACCCACATAGTATTTCATTATTCTATCAGTCAACGTAACTAGGGATGAGGAAAATCAATAACTAACTTATCTGCTTTGAGTAGAATGGAACCATGCGGTTTTTAAATGCCTTTTAGTACAGGACAATTGAACTAAGAGTCAGGATTACATTAGGCAAATTTGTTTCCAGTACTATCTTACTTTTGAGAAGGATTTTGACTAGCATGCACTTTCCCCTATTTTGTGAAACCGCCTTTCTCTATTGTGTCTTAGGTCATGACTTAGGATTTAAGAAGTACCACTATTTTCTCATATTTAAACATTAGTATGAGCACCCAACGGCTGTTCTCCTGCAAAGATGGGGAGAAAAGGAAACAAGAGAGAGCAAGTCAGCTATAAGAGCATCAGCCACAGTTAACCAAAGCTGGCGTGAGTATTTTAGCAAAGGGCCTGCTGTCAACCTGAAAGATAACACTAGGTATCTGAGGTTAGAAACTGTGTTGGACATTAGATTATACAGCACAGAAATAGAATCTTGCCCAGGTTAACAGCTACATCACTCCAGGGAACATCTAACTGTGGCTATCAAGCTCCTACAAGGTACCACTATGGCAACAGTAAAAACATCAGCTATCCTTCAACCTAAAACAACTAGTGAACCAACACCTTCAAGAATCACACACACACACACATAGGCTACTGAAACACCATTACACTGAGTTGTTCTTAGTCTATTTCCTAAGGAAACAGTAACTCTCCCACATTGAAAATACCACATTATTCCTTTTGATACGTGTGATATCTTTTTGCTGCTATTAAGGAACTTACTTTCATTTAAGAGTTTTATTTTTCATTATAATAAATTAATCCATATCAACATTTAGTACTTTTTAAGGAAATATAGGAAAGTCTTATTTCTTAAATAGGCAAATACGTTAAGATAATTTTACCAGGGAGTCTTCCCTCTGGAACTCAGACTGCCACATTACTAAATTGGATGTTCACTCACTGTCCAAAGTTCTGCTTTATTTTTACTACAGGAGAAGAGGTAACTATATTTAACTAGATAAATTCCATACAGACTGAATACAGATTGCTGTAAGTTGGAGGGAAAAAAAAAACTAAAACTATTATTTACTCTATAACCATACTCATCCCAAATCACATCTGAGGGAATGACATTTTGGGCCATTGGGCACATTTTCACTTGTCACATAATTATCTTCAGAAACAATCTTTGAAAACAGTATTCAGAGGTCTTCTCAGAGGGTCTGGCTCCCAGCGACACCTGACTGTGGTTGATACATCAAAGATGGACAAGAAGACTGAGTTCTGTATGCTAGAGTATGCCAGATAACATTGTACTGCTCACCCCACACTGATCTCACCTCCATAAAGCAGGGACTGTGGTAAATAAATGTGACTCTGACTATTTACTGAGTCCTTATTTTCCAAACACTTCACGTTAGTTATCTCATCCATTTCTCATGATTTATGAGCTAACAGCAATAACAAAGACAGCACTGTACAAAGGGACTATGGAAGAGCTACTCCTTTGTCTGATTTTCCTTTTCATTCCTTACCATGTGCAAATCCCTTTTTTATCTCTACCTATTTACTTCAATACAAGAAGCCTTTATCAGTCTATTTTGGCAGGCATGATTGTTTGTGGGAAAATATACAATCTGAGTCCTGAATCCCATCCCAATAGCACAAGGTTGATAATCTTGCAGTGACCACCTCTGGCACTGTATCAAAGGCTTCATCTGTGGATGTCTTTCATGTGATTTGATGTGCTCTGAAATGCTACAAAGCAGCTCATGACTTCCTGTTTTGTGCACACCCTACAGTTGGGTCTCAAGCAGCTGGCTTTGTAGGCATCATGTTTAATGAACATCTGAAATCCAATGAACCCCTACTTCATTTTATACATGTAAGGAGGGCTAGCATCTGGAGGCACTAGGAAAGGAGTATGTCTCACTAGCAGTCACCCTGGGAGTGACAAGCACTTTCAAGGCTGATTAACACAGAAGTCAGCCATAGTCTCTGAGGTCACACAGGTCTCAAGGAAGAGGATGACACTGGGTTTTGGTCCCACCATACATGTTAGCTGTATGGCAAGTTATTTTGGACTTTCTAAGCCTCAATAAAGCTAATACCACCTACTCTGAATAGTTGCTACAAAGTTGTCAAATCGCATTTGTAAAGATCCAGCAGAGATGATGAAAAGCTTAGACAGTAAAAACTATGTTTTCCATCGATTGTCTCTGCATTGCATTGTTGCTGATAGCAGCATTCCAACAACTAGTCTGTTTTAAGAGATGACCAGTCAAGTAACAGACCAGTTGATACAGGGAGAAACAGAGGTCAGGAAAATAAATACATAAATAGAAGTTCTTAAATATTTTTACAAACTTACTTTCTTATTCAGCTGCTTCTAAATGCAAGTTGAAACACTCTAGTTAAGAAGGTAGGCATTGCCTTCATTTATCTTTATAATTTTAGCCTAGAAAGAATTTTTATAATAACCCTGAGCCCCTATGAAATTGTCCCAACTACTTTATAAGATACCACTGCCATCAAATAGATGACTTTTGGTATTAACCAAATAACAAGCAAATTGAGATCAATTTAGAAAGAAAAATTTCAGAAGTGAGCCCATTATAGAAGTGACTATGATTGTCGGGTAAGCCTCACACAGGCAACATACACTGAGATGAAACCATAAGGCAAAGTTCTTAAAGTGACTTGCTGCCTAGAGCTCTGCAGTCTCACTGACTGTGATTCTATCTTGCACAGCAAAGATGCTGTTCTGAGCTGAAGAGCAGAATTAGAAGAAGATGCCCATCCTCCCCACGACCATTAATCCCCAAACACCAATGGAGTTGCACAGGCTTCCACAGACTGAATCGTTCCTATGATTGTGGTATCTAGAGGCATCCTTCCATTGGTGGGATTAAACATCCTTTAAAAAAGGCAGAACTCAGTGGCAGGGACCACAAACACCCCACTTTGGGAATGGTTAGGACATGATAAAACTTCATGCAACTGGGTTGTCCCAGCAATCTGATTGGCTTCTTGTCTGAGGCAGTTTATCCACACTTCAGAAAATTGCTTCTGCTAATAAAACTGCAAAGCATCTCTCTCATGCTTGGCAGAAGTTCCTGCAGGTAATTAAAACAGATTCTTCTTACCACAAATAATGAGATGAATGCTTTGAAATCCATGGGGAAAGTTGGTGAACTGATAAATCAGGAACCTGAATTGTCAAACTACTTTAGAGGTCACAGTTCTGCTTGGAGGGCTCCACGGAGGGTGTGTCTCGCTTTCAAGGTAGGAATGACGCTTCTTTTGTTTCCGTTCAATTCTTTCCTGCCTTTCTTTCCTTTCCTAAGTGGGGGGAAAGATAAAAGAAAAAAAAAAAAACAAAAAACAAAAGAGCAACAACAAAAGAACCCCAGAAAAGTCTAAGTTTATATACACTATGTGCACTTGCTATTGAATTGGATTGCTGGAAGAAAATAACTCATTGTAAGATTTTTGTATACAATTTTTAATTGGCCATGAAGGAAAGTAGCTAGGGGATGTTGCTGATTTGTATGAGCATGGACAAATTTACTATTAATAGGTATCAATGTCACATGTTGTTTGCTTGCTTGGTTTAGAGACAGACTCCCATAAGCCTAGCATCACATTCACTGTGAACTGAAGGACCCTGGACTCTGATCCTCTGGCCCCTCCTACCCCTGGCTGGGATTGAAGGAGTGAACCACCACGCCAGACTTTACCACACTTTTTTAAATGTTGAAAGTTACAGTAAAAATTATGCCCAATTAACCTCAGAAACTCACGGTTATAATCATAACACTCAGGAGGCTCAGGCAGGAGGAGTGCCACAAATATGAGGCCAGCTTGTTGGGCTGCAGAGTGAGACTTTGTCTTAAGCAGACAATGATGCTGATGACAGGAAACAGAGGGGAAGAGGAAGAATAGGAGGAGAAAGGAGAATGGGCATGGAGACAATAGGTGAAATGGAAGCCATGGGGGTACAAGCATAATCGAAGCACTGGGGAGACCAAGAAAGACGCGTATCGTATGTTGGAGGCCAGCTTTGTCCACAAAGCAGGACTCTGATTCAAAAACCCAAGCAGAACAACAGTAAGTAAGTGCGCAGTTTTGTAAGAAACATCATGATTATACGAAGTTAGCGGTGACCTTCAGAGGATGTGTTTCCAGGAGACCTGCGAGATCGACATCTGATTGTGCCATGGCAACACAGGACATTCAGATTCTTGAAAATGTAGTCTGGCATTTTATTTTTTATTGAGCTTGAGCACATTTGTTGCTCTTCCTGTGATTTTTTTTTTGTTGTTGTTGTTCAATTATTTGACTTACCTAACTGTATAGATAACAGTATTTTTAACTTTTAGTAGCTTGAATATTTTCAAATAATAAAATATTTCAAATAATATTGTTTTGGTGTGATTTTGTTTGTTATTTTTAGTGTTCACAGTGAACTGCACAATGCATTAAGAAATAATGCAGCTACAGAAAACTGTAATATTAACAACATGTGATTACCCACGGAGCACGACCTCAACTTTAGAGGCCCTGTTTCAGCTCCTTCATTTTGTCTCCCCTCTCCTCACCTTTTTGGTAGTGTTTACATATGTCCAATTTTACCAAACAACCATGAATTCTCCTAAGCAGTTGTAGCAATCGACATGCCCACCAGCAGCTACTCTGAACTTTAGATTTCTATGTTAATACTTTTCCATTAGATGGCATCACTTTACTCCTTGATGACTCTGAGCATTTAAAGGTTTAGAAGGTATGTTAGATCTGGGAGACAGGATGCACACGGAGTTATGTTTTCTTTTGATTAGTCTGATTGCTTGGAATTTTCTATTTATTGCATCAATCCTTTTTGGCATTTGTGTTTTTCTTCTGTGAAGCAAAGCTTTGAAGTCTAAATATCAAAGGAATTACCCAATAGCAATTCTCCTGCCACCACTAATTTCTGCTGCTCCTCACACACCACGCGCATCCTTACATAAAACAGGTTTGGAGGTGTCTATGGGGCTTTCATTCTTCTGGCACCATGCAGCCTTGGTTTTTGTTTCTTCATTCAAATGTCAAGCACTTAGCTTCTACTTGGGGTCAAACACAGAGTGCTGGTCAAATCAGAACACACAGACACAGACACACACAGACACACACACACACACACACACACACACACAGAGAGAGAGAGAGAGAGAGAGAGAGAGAGAGAGAGAGAGAGAGAGAAAGAGAGACAGAGAGAGAGAGAGTTTCTGATGCTCAGAAAACTTTCAAAATGGACAGGTGATGAACAAGTAAATTAATACCATAGAATCCAAAGTTGTATGTGTTTCTATGAAACAAAGACAAAAAGGGTACTGTATTCCCACACAAAAGTGGATTAAAAGAACATTAATCAAGTGGCACATGTTAGAAAGAGAAAGCATCTGTAGATCCAGTGGGAATGAGGTTTCAAGCAAAGGGGTTTCAAGTGTCACAGCTCAGCAGAAGCTGAGAAAGAGTTGATGATGCTCGGGGAACCAAAGAAAAGCCACTGTGACCAAACCTTGCGGGAAGGGAGAGTGGCCCCAGATGAGAATAAAAGGATGTCAGTAGCAGCAAACCATAGTAATACACAGAATTTAACAGAAAAAAAAATGCAACTAGAGACAAAAGCAGAGGAGCAGGTAGTAGGAAAGACACAGAAGGAGGGTGTGTGTCCGTGCATGTGTGAGTGTGTGTGTGTATGTATGCGTTCTACCATCATACAGGGACAGGGAACCAAGCATCATGGTAAAAGATGGCTTGGCAAACCCCAGATTTGGCTTTGGTTGTGCTGGAGACAGTAAAGATGGAGGAGGCTGGGAAGAGCGAGGACTCCCAGGAGTGAGGAAAGCAGAACATGATGGAGCAGAGCTGGCATGGGACCCTGAGTAGAGATCCCATTGCTTGATTTTTATTTCTGATTAATTTCTATGACACATGAGGGAGATAATTCCAGGAGACAGAAAGAGTGGAGGCATGATATATTTCTGTTTTATTGCTTGAATAGAGGATTAGTGGCATTTCCCATTATTATTGAAGTGTTTGTTATCGTTCATGTTTCTCCATTATTACAGCAGGTGAATCTGGGCCGCTTCCCATTTATACTTCTTTTGAGGAAATATCCATTTAGGGGTTAATACAAAACCCAAACATTCATCCACATACATTTTACTTGGTGTCTGAACAGCACTGGCTCTTCCATCCTGAAACCTGGACTGTGTCTCTCTGACTGTTTCTCTATATGTGGTGTCCTCGCATTGCTCAGAAAAGCAGCAGTTTCCATGAGACCCTTAGACCACCCTGTCTCTGTGGGCTGATGGCTTGGGGAAGACACCAGAGTGAATGGTGGCTGTACGCATCTTTCATCAGTACATTTGAAGAGTGAGAAGAGTAATGAAAACAGTATGGCAATGTAAGATTCCCAATTACAGACGACGTTCACATGGCAAGAGGAATGAGGAGAGGTGTAAAGGCTCATAGCCGGGCTCCGTGAAAATGGCTGAACACGTGATACTCCTACTGAAGCAAAGGACAACCTTTTAAAACTTTCCAAAGGAAAAGCTGTCATTAGCTCACTTCATTGAGCTATGCTTCTTTTTCTCCAACCTACCTTTCAAGAGAACCTGAAACAACTGAGATCTTACTAGTAGATGCTGAAAAGCCAGGAGAACAAGTAGACAGTCACCACCTTCACTATCAGGTGGCAGGAATCAACAATGTCACCGTAAAAATAACCGAAAGAATTTAGAGAGGGTTTCTGTCAATTGTGGGCATCTGGGCCCCTTCCCCCCGCCCCCTGCACCATCCATTCTTCTGCCAGCAGAAAATCGAAAGTAACGAATGGGTAAGAGGGAGAGTGGGTTGACAGTGTGGTATCCACTCCCGCTCTGGGAAGCACTCCAGAGTAGAGTTTTCCTGCACTGGGCAGTGTGCTAGTGTTTTATAGGATTTGAGGAGTAGACTGATGAGGATGGGAATGTGCCAACCCACTGTAGTCTAAATAGTGATATAGAACGATGGCATAGCCACCAGTGGGAATGCGACTCCACTTTCAAGAAATTGTGGAAACAAAATAGAAAATTCTAACTTTGATATTCAGTTGCCCGAGTGGTGTTGACAACAGCCTAGACTTTTTCGATATGGGAAGCATTTCAACATTTTTAAAAGGATCAAGCGTTGCATAAGAGTTTAATGAAAAAGATCATACTCAAATACTGAGTGCTTCATTCAAATATTGTGCTTTTTAGTTTTAAAGACAGGATCCTATTATGAGCTAATACTGATCACCCAATTTTATTGTTTCTCTGCGTGGAACTGTCATGAAGCAATGCAAGAGTCTACAGATGTCACAAAGGATAATTTGTTTTTCACAGTCAGGACTCAGGTGACTCAGAGAGGATGGACACCTTTACATCACCACTTTAAGGGCATTCCTCCCCAAGAACTGGGCTGCATTTCCTCAGGGCTTGGGCTGCAGGAGAGTTCTTTAGATTGGTCTAAAGTGTTTATTCACTTTACTCCTAACTGTTCCATATATTCCACTTCAAATGAGTTCAATTTGGTCCTATATGCTCTTGGAAGTGTAAATTCTAAAATGTGAATGAAAATCAGGGAAGCACAGTGAAAAACCCTGTGAGAGAAGAAGTGTGGTGGGGGAATCACCCAGATCTACGCATGACATGAGAGGCCTCGGAAGGACACTGACTGCTACTAGAAAAATTACATATATGACGAGACCGACCAATGCAGCACAAAGGCAAAGAAACAGACCCCCGAACGCAGGGATAGATTGCAAAGACGAGCTCTTAAACCATCAGGAAGAGATGCTCTGGTTTGTAAAACACACATCCTGGGAAAGTTAAGTTGGAATCAAATATGTCTTCATGTAAGAAAATAGCTTGAGGGCAGGGCAAATGCTAATACACTGTCTGTAAAAGAATGAGACAGAGAGCCAGGAGCTTTAAACTATGGGGAAGGTCTTTCCACCTAGGTGTGAGAATCAGAGGCCAAAAGAAAAGACAGCAATCCAAAATAAAACTGGAACTGGCAGGGCCTATGATACTAGTAAACAATGACGGGCAAGCAAGAATAGAGGGGGTAGAAAAGTTGCACCTTCTAATAGAAACTGTAGGTGAATTTCCCTACTAAAGTAGCTCTTAGAAGTTAGTAAGACAAAGACAATCCAATAGAAAATGTGTGCATCTATTAAGAGACAATTTACAGAAATATGTTATTAGCATATATCTATAAATGAAAACATGAGTAAGTTCAGTCCGAGATATGCTGCTGTAGACAGCAGATTGAGATGAATCCAATTAAGTCAGATTTAAAAAAAAAAAACTGCTAGGACTGTGAAGAAATTTATAAGTGCAGGATACACAAGAATTGCCATCTACTTGCACAAAGGATAATATTTATGGCTGTCATTTATTCAAAATTAAGAAAATGAGTATTTGTTTTAAAATAGAAGAATGTATTTTGCTTGACAGTACCTAAAAGTAACCTGTTGACAATACTTACTACTCACACATCTACTAAAGGACAGCTGGATATTATGCCTTCCAACTTCCATGTTGATACCTCACGTTGAACAATGTCCAAATAAGGCTCTTTTCCTTAGCTGATCAGCATATTAAAGGAATGTAAGACATGGAGTAAGTTCCTCACCATTAGCGTCAGTGCTACTGTAGCAATGGGGATTCTGCCTTGAGGACTCTGCACCCTCAGCACACCTATCTACCTTCTATGATGCCACAGGCAAAAAGCACAGAGGAAGAATGGGCACCATGGGACAGGGATGTGGAGGGGATTCAGGCCTAGAACATGGCAACTGGTGCAAGCTCCCATGCTTTGGCCAACCTCAGAGGCACAGACAGAAAGGAGAGGCTGTGGGAGACTCTGATCTGCAGAGGAGGAGAAGCTGAGCTCAACAAGAGACTCTCCAGAAGAACAGAATGGGAATGAGAAGCAGACAAGGAAAAAGTCAGTTAAAAAGGAAAGCTCATTTGCACACAACACCTACCAGCCACTTTTCGTATTCACTGATGGCTTGCTTGTCTTTGTCTTTCTTCTCTGCTCTCTTTAGCTCTTCCTTTCTTCTCTCGTTTATTTTCTCCTTTTCCTTTTGCTTGAGAAGGGCTTCCTTTTTTTCAGTCCTGTGTAGGAGAACATGAAACAGTGGGAAGTTACAGGAGAACGTACACTAGAGTTGCCCTAATGTAGCTTCGGAAGCAGTGAGAATGAGAGGGGTGAGTAGACCTGTAAGCAGTTAAGTCCTAGGAAAGCCCCAGGTATTAGCCTGAAACTCCCAAACGTCGAATCATGCAGGATTACCATTTTTCAAAAGCAGTTAAATTGTCTTTCTTTTTCTCTGCAACCGTTTCTTCTTCTTTCTGTTTCTTTGCTCTTTCATATTCTTTCTCCTTCCTGGTCTTCTCTTTCAGGTATTCCAGCTTTTTCTCTTTCCATTTTTCAAATGCCTGAAAGAGTTCAGAGTGGTTTTATACTTGCCGCGACTTTTCTGAGATCAGCAAAAGTGCAATGGATCCTTCCTTCACGCACAAGAATTGCGAACAACTGAGATCATCCAGGGCCTGGGGTACTCACTTGCAGGGCCTCGTCTTTCCTCACAGCGTTTTCTTCTTCCGTCTTCCTCTTGTTTTTTTCCTCTAGCCTCTTCTTTGCAGCTATTTTCTTTGCTTCTTTTTCTTTCATAGCCTTCCAGGCCTCGAATGATGCTAATGCTTCCTCTCTCTTAGCTGCTTTTTTCTATTTTGATTTAAAATAAAATGGCATACATCTATGTGTCTAGATGGGAGTACAGGTATAGACACAGATACACAAATATGTATTTGTCTTTAATCTCCCAACAGTTGTCATACAAAGAAGTTACAAAGCAGGTAATTTATTTAGAATTACTTGGACAAGTTGATCTACAAAAGTTATTGACTGCTTTTTAGGATGTCAAAACACTTATCAGGTATTGGCTCCTTTTGTATTCATGAGAGAGAAGCATCTATTGACTTTGGAAGTAGGCACAATACATGTTTTCAAAATAAACTACAACAGACTAACTGGTACTATAAAATGTTTAATTAAAAAAAAGAGATGAAACTTAAAAGATTATAAGGTAACGTAAGTTGCCCAAGGCACACAGTGGGAACAGGTGCTTGGCTTGAATATAACATTCTTATAACATATACCAAATGTCACGTAACAGAAATACACTGTGAAATGTGTAGGGACAGTACTGCAGCTATGTGACAAACTTACTCTCTAACCTTATTAACGCCAATATTTGGCCTCAAATACTGTTCAACCTTAGAAACAGACTGCATCATTTAGGTGAAATAATTCAGAAGCAAAATTATGGTAAAATGGCACAGAGGCATTCAGAGGCACAGCCCCCGGAGGATGCCCCACAGAGAGCTGACTGGCCCCAGTGTTGCTCATTTTAGGAGTATTTCCCTGTCGATCTGCTTTTTGTGAGGATCAATACAAGGAAGCAAGAAGAAAGATCTGAGCACATTGTGGGCTCTTACACAGGTGAGAGGGGCAAAGTGAAATCACAGGAAGGGCTGGACAAGAGTCTCAGGCAGTGAAGGGTAAAGTGGGTCAGGAGCCATAGCAGGGGTCAGCGTGGAAGACACAACAGCAAAACTGACTGCCAGTATACACTGTGTTCTCGACTGAACTCTAATCAACATCAATTTCTGAGACTGAATTTGGTGGTCACACAAATACTAAGTTAATAGTAAGCCCTGCTGTGTCTAGCCTATGCATATGAAACTTTAAATGTGTATGCATTTTATGAAAAAGTTCACTTGAAACCAAAGTGAAGAAATTAAATCAGAAATCAGTTCTTTTATGTATACATTTTATCACTTAAAGACAGTACATTTGGTAACAAATCTCCAGAGATCTTTCACTGACATAAAGTTCTTTCTTTTATGATACCTGTTCATTTTGGATCCTTAAGTTTTCACTTTCAATTCTTTTTATTCTGTGCATTTCATGTAAATACACATTTTTCTTTTCTAACCACTCCTGTGAAATTAAAAACAACAAAAGGTTAGATGTTACTACATAGGCCCAAATGATGTAGAATTCTTATCTAATTTTGAAGTATTTGTTTAAAGTTTAAAAAATAAACAAAGAAATTTATGTGTTGTCTAAAATAGTATTCTTTTTCCAGTGATATTTTAAAGATGAATATTGCTGTTTAAGAAAATCTTATGTATATTATCTTTCTTATGTTGTAAGATCTCAATGATTTAATATAATGGTTAAGTATATCAACATTTTATATTGAAATTCAAGTATAAGATTTTCCAAAGGAAATTATATTCTGTGTAACAAAACAAAAAAGATGTTTCTTGAAACTTTGGGGAAAAAAAAGAAAAGAAAAGAAATCTTAGTCTGGGGGAAATCTTTGTCTCCAGAAAGAAAGTTTAAAAAATTGATCATTAAAAGATAAATTTTCAGAATAAATAGGATAAAATACATGTAGATTTTATAATAAACTAGCTCTCTGTATTTCCATAAATTGTAATAGTATCTTCTCTTTCTTTAAAAACATTTTTATATTTTAAAAAACAAAATGTAGCAACAAATAATTCAGAAAACCCTCAGGATTGCTCACACACTTCTAAAAAAGCAGTCTTTCCCAATGACAGTGAGTATCCAGTGACCATTATAGATGGTCATGTTATTGACCTTGTGGAAATGATCAATTCTTGGTTAAGAAATATTTTCCATTTTACCTGATAAACAGCTGCCCTTATGTGATCAGCTTTGTCTGGCTCTATGCTTTGCTTCCGTGATGGCTTCTGGTCCAAGACTTTCAAAGTCCCTAAATAGTGAGAAGAGGTAGCTGCAGACGGACTTCTCCTTGTGGGACCAGATTTCTTTAAAAACTCAGAGGTCATCAGCCTGGAAAGTTCCAAACGGACCAAGAGCAAGTGAGGCAGAGCTGCCAGACACACAATTATCAATTATTTCCTGTAAAATGGCATTCTAACACCAGTTGAGGCTCCTCACACCTATAATGCCACAGTCAGGAGGCCAGCTTGATATACACAGCAGGTTCTATGTTACCCTGGGCTAAGTGTGGGACTCTGTCTCAAAGAAACAAAATGAAGAATGAATGAAATGAATTATACTTACTTTCAAAATAATCCAATCAAGAGTCATGTTTTCTTAGTTCTGCTAACATAATTTAAACTTTGTAACTTTGAACTATAGTTCTTGTCTTTGGTACTTATAGAGGCTTTTAAAGAAACACAAACCACATCTTAAATTACAGGAAAACCACCAATAAAAGTAGGTTTGAATCACTTTTTGAATATGTTATTGTATTATTCTGTTACTTGATATACTCTATGAATTTAAAAGAACAGGACCCCATATTTCAGGTATTTATGGGAAAATCTGGCCCATCTTGTCTTTTGGTGAATAAGGTTTACTGCATGGCAGCTCTAGTCACTCATTTGCATATTCTCAACCCTCTTTTAGACTGTAATGGCAGAGCTGAATGCTTAAGGCAGGGGTAAAAATGGCTCATAAAATGACTTACTGGCCAAAGTTGGCCGGCCTGCTACATTTGACTAATAATAAATAGTTTAAATGAATCAGAAGGTTTTCAGAATACAGATGCGTCAGGAACACCGATCAAATGGATTCTCAGCCTATAGTTTATTATTACTATTTGGTTTTATTTGTGACAGGTGTAACTATGTAGGTCAAGCTAGCTTTGAATGTATAACAATCCTCATGCTTCAGCTTCCTGTGTGCTGGATTACAGCACAGGTATGTGCCACCATGGCTAGTTTAAGATTCTGATCATTTTAGTAAACTCATTTAGGGCCTGGAAACTGTCATTTGTGTGTGTGTGTGTGTGTGTGTGTGTGTGTGTGTGTGTATGTACGTGTGTACTTGGGAGCTTTAGCCAAGCAGCTGTGTAGTGAGATAAGAGAAAAAATAAAAACACAGCTAGAGAGAAAAACCCAAAGAATACTGGATAAATGGAGATTTTTCTATGCAAGAGTGAAACCAACTAAGAGTTTTCATCATGAGATATCTATCCCATCTGACAATGGAAACCACTAAAAACACCATGACTGCAAGTGAAATTTGTTTCATGGATACTAGATTAAGTTGAGTTTTACTAGAATGTAAGCCCATACATGATGAAGTTTGTAACTTTTACCTGCCAGAGGCACTGGATACTCTATTGTTCACTGGCTTTTTATTCTTCCTGTTTTGGTCTTCATTTGTTTTCTAGTAGATGGAAAACACAAACACGGATCACTCACCATGATTACAGCAGGCTGGGAAGCAAAACTGAGGAACAGTAAGTGACTAGAGTGGAGTTGAGGGGCTGGGGAGGGGCTTGCAGGCACAGTGGGGAGAGCGGAGGACAGAGTGTAGGTCTATAGAAACAGAGAAAAGCACAGATATTTATCTGTGGCTAACACACACACACACACATACACACACACACACACACACACACACACACACACACACACACACACACGGAGCTGAAGCTCTGTGACACAGGAGAGGTGTACAGATGTCATTCTCATGTCCAGCGTGGTGGTTTGAAAAAAAAAAAGGACCGTAAAGGGAGTGGCACTATTGGGAAGTATGGCCTTGTTGAAGGAAGTGTGTCACTATGGTGGCGGGCCTCGAGGTCTCTTTTGCTCAAGCTTCCCTCAGTGTAACACTGAGACCATTTCCTGTTGCCTGCAAGCTGTAGGACTGTCAGCTATTACTCCAGAACTATGTCTGCCTGCACACTACCACGCTCCCTGTTGTGAAGATAATGGACTGAACCTCTGAAACTGTAAGAGTCACCCCGATGAAATGTTTTCCTTACAAGAGTTGCCATGGTCATAGTGTCTCTTCACAGCAACATAAACCCTAACTAGATGCCCTTAGAAGCAACAAATAAACTATAATGTGTGTGTGTGTGTGTGTGTGGGGTGTTACTGGGTTCAAAATAGGAAGGACCATTCAGTCAGCAGAGCATGAGAATAAAACCCAAAGTTCACCTCAAAAGAAAGATCCTGAGCTTATTATTGGGTATAAAAATGTGCTTTAATTTAGACTCATTCCTAGTTTAAGATCCCATCTATATTTTATAAAAGACCCCTTTGACACAACTGAGGTACTCCACACGGAAGGGGCTGGGCTAGCAGAACAGTGATGGTGCCAACGTGAGCCCAATCACAGATGTGAAGCAGTGGTCCTAGGACTTCATGAACCTCCCTGGTATGGTTTGATCACTTTGGCTTGTGTGTTACGTAAGCCGGTTCTCAGCCAATCACAATGGATAGACATAGACATTCCAGTCAGACTCTGGGATAGAGTAAGACTAAACTCAGAAGAAATAAAGACTGCAAGGGCTGCACTGTAAATTGTAAAAGCATGGTACTCTGATGTATTGTATCGTGGAGTAAAATTATCCCAGAAAACATAAATCTATTCCTAACAATATAATCACGTTCCTGATGATGGCCCTGTTCACCCCTTTAAACACTTTAAAACAACAACAACAAAAATCTTCCTTCTCTTTGTCTTTCTCTCCCTCCTTCCAGCTGTTTCTCTGTCTCTGCCTCTGTCTTTGTCTCTCAGTAGGGTCTTACACAGCTTAGACTGGCTTGGAACTCACTATGTAGCCAAGGTGCTCTTCAATGCTTCCATTGAAATTGTTTATGTTTTGAAGGGATATTAAAATTTCACCAGTGTAATATCTCCAGAGCTGTTCTAGATAGTTGTATTTTAACGATCTGATCTATAGAAACCCATTGTTGTGGGAGTTCTTTCCACCAGTAGCTTTGGGGTCCTGACATGAGGACATGGCTGGGGTGCTACACAGGACTGAAAAGCTGGAGCAGAGGAGGAAGCTGTGCTCTCCCTTGCTCTAGCTCATGCCTGGTGGGGCAGTGAGCGATCAGCCGAGGCTTCAGCCTTACTCTGTATCTGTGAGTCTGTCCTTTTTCACTGCACCCCTTAATAAATCAGTTTTTCTTCCTCTGTGAGTTCGCCTATGTAGAGATGCATATACCATGGGGTTATCAAATACTTTAAATTATATTATTATGCCTGATAGGTTCCTGTGAACACTTGGCTTCATTGTGCCAAGTGCAAGCTTTCCTTGAAACTGAAATTCAATTGAATTAAGGAACATTTACTTAAACACACAAAAGATGTGCTCAACACTGACATACAGATGTGAGGACAAAAATAAGATACTTGAAGGTTCTGTTTTGTGTGGGAAGCTGCAGAGCCAATGTGACACATTACAGACATACCTTGGTCGGCTCTGCCATCTCGGTGGGTGTTATAACACTTGGGGAAGTGGAGAGCGGTGGGTCAGCGGTGAAGTCCTCATCTGTAAGTCCAGCCTTGTCTCTCTCTTCCTCATTGTCATCAGCAGCCACCTCACCTGACCTGGGCTTCTCAAGTTCAGGAGTAACAGAGTTGACCAGAACTGAATTTTCTTCATTTTCATTGGATATCAAGGAATCCCAGCTTTCAGTAGGTTCCCCAACCTGATCTGTTTGGAAGCAAAGAGACGTCACCAAATTCTTCTGATTCTACACAGGGTACGTACGACAGATTCATTTACTATCATTCAAATGAGTGTTGTCATAACTGTTTAAAGTGTGTGTGTGTGTGTGTGTGTGTGTGTGTGTGTTAATATGAATGCAGATTCCCTTCTCAGAGGCCAGATTCAAAATTGCTAATAGCTGGGGTTACAGGCAGTTGTGAGCTGCCTGATGTGGGCACTGGGAATAGACCTTGGGTCCTCTAGAATTGCACTAATATGTTTTCTTAACTGCTTATTCTCTCTTTTGGAAGCAGGGTGTACTATAGCTGAGGCTGGCCTTGAACCCCTAAACCATCTTTCTTTAACTCCCAAGTGCTGGAATGATAAGCTTCTGTCATGATGCCTGGCTATTATCTCTTTTTTCCTTATAAAATAAACACAATGAAAACTATTAAGTTAAATGAACACACTTGATCTATGAATGCAAAAATGCCTATTCGATCTAACATTTGACAAGCCTCATACTTCGAAAACCCAGCATATGCATAATTAGAATGGAATAATTACCCCCAAGTAAGAGAGAGCATATGGATATGCAAGTCAAGTAACCAGCAACCTAGACCATGATACCCATCCATTTAAAGCTAAGAGAGCCTGCTGGGAAAGCAGGCTCAGTGGCATTGCAGCTAGTGAGCTGCCTGGATGGGGAAGGAAGCACAGACTCATGTAATTCATCTTATGCAGACATCTAGCCAAGCTCAGACCAGCTTCCCTCCTTCATTTCCTCATCATTTCACATGAACAGCACCAAGGTCTGGCCTACTGCACACCCGGGACTCTTCAGCATAGGCCTTAGCTCCCCATAAGGAGACTAAGCTTGGCTTTCTCAGAATTGCTTCTATTTATACTGACTCTATGACACTCCGGGACATCCAACAGAAGGAAACACAGCAGTTGCTTGAATGACAGTCAACAGAAAAGCCAGCAATCCCCGTGTAATAGCCATTTTGATTGCCACCAAGATCTAACTTATAGTTACTGAAAAGACTTAATTCTGCTGCTTTCATTATGGCTATCTGGGGGGAAGATTTTGGGGGAGTAACTAAGTTTCAAAATCACTTCATCATCACAGTTGCTCTGTTTGAATCTGATGAGCATCCATGACTCAGTCCATTACTGGAATCTTTGGCGCTGTGAAAAGAACAAGGACTTAGGAGCCCAAGTCAGACTATGTCTCCATCCTGACCTTAAGTATGTGACTCAACAGCTCTGCACTTCATTTTTTTTTTTAATCTGTAAAATGACAAAAAATTGCACTACATAGTAAGTATTGATCCTTGTTTACCTCTCTAATGCTGTGATAAAACGCTGAATAAAACCAACTCGGGAAGGAAAGGGTTTATTCGGTTTACATGACATGCTCACAGTCCTTTGTTGTGGGAAGCCAGGGCAGGAGCTCAAGGCAGGATGTGGAGCAGAGCCCATGGGGGACCACCATTTACTGGCATATACCTCATGGCTTGCTCAGCTTGCTTTCTTATACCACTTAGCCATCTTCCCAGAGGCAACATCACCCACACCAGGCTAGTTCTTAGCACATACATCATTAATCAACACAATGATCCATGACAGGCGGAGCTGATGGAGGCATCCCCTCAACTGAGATTCCCTCTTCTGAGACAGGTCTAGGTGTATGCCACGTTAACTAGAATTAACCAGCATAGCACTTAAGGAATGCCAGTCCCATGCTACAGTACCTGAAATCAGCTCCTCTTTTTGGCTGTATCAAGCTACAGGTGCTCCAACATTAACAAGGGAAATGACATTACCAATCAATGCATGCTTCATATTTAACATGCACTTACTCTGGGAGTAGACTCAGGGCCTTCTAGGTATTAGTAATTTTTAAAATTCTCACAACCGCATGAGATAGATGATTCTCAGGATAAATTCACAGGCCCAGAGAGGCTTGCTATTCTGTCCATCTAGGTCTGGATAAAAAGTCCAGGTGGCCATTATGTTGTGTTATCTGCATGATTATAGCACCAAACACATAATACAGGTTCCCCTTAAATGATCATTCCAGTTGTCCTTGAGACTTTGCTGGAGGCATAAAGACTTTAACACTTAATTTTCACAACAGCCTTATGAGACAGGTAACTACAATAAGCTGGAGAATCAGAGGCATTGGGAAATTAACTTCTCTGCTGTAAAGTCACCCAGTCAATTGCATCTTCAGGATTAAAACTCATACAAAAGCAAACATACCTTTTCCCGTAAATACACAAAATACAGTTTTGCTTGCAGACACTGAGTAATACAGAGTACACAAACAGGGGATTGTAATAGGTGTGACTACCTTTTATGGATGCCTTTTCCTGAGATCCTGGTGAGGTGCAATTTGCAGGGCTTTCTTTGAGGGACGATGAGGTCAGACTTTGTAAGAGTGAGTCCTATCAAGAAAAGTATTTACCATATAAGGTTAGCCCCAAGGACTCCCAGAGGCAACAAAGTCATTAAAGCTGTCAGTGCTGGAAAGTTGGCTCAGAGGTTAAGATTGCTTCCTGCTCTTCCACAGGACCCCAGCTCAGTTCCCAGAACTGATGTGGGCAGCTCACAACTGCATGTAACCTCAGCTCCTGGGAATGGGATACTCTTCAATCCTCAACAGTACCAGCCAAACTATCAGGAAGGAAAAAACAGGGGGCAGCAGGACAGCTCAGGAGATAGAGAGCTTGCTGCACAAGCCAGACCGCCTAAGTTCAACTCCCCTAGCCCATGTAAGGCCGGAAGATCGAAGTTCCACAAAGTTGTCCTCCGTCCTCTTCAGGCAAGCCACAGCATGCACAGAGGCAAAAGACAATCAAAACTGGTAACTAAATGCAATGTAAAACAAAACAGAAATATGATAGAAGAAAAAAACAACCATCCAACCAACCAGACAAACAAACAAACAAAAAAAAAAATCTAAGGATCTAAGGGCACAGACCTCTCCACAAAGAAGTTTCCAATCCCAAACAGTTTAACTGGTGAACCTTGTAATTTAACTTTTCATAACTGTGTGTTTCACAACAAATTTCTAGCAAATAAGAGAAGACACAGGCACACAAACACAATAACACAGTAAATAACCCTATCTAACATTTAAGCCTGATAATAACATCTTAAGGGAAAAAAAAAAAAAACCACTCATACAATAACAACGACCTTCACACATGTATAGATGGAAGGTTTCACAAAAAAGTAAGATATCAAAACACAAAACTTAAAATGTCTTGGCCGATCAGGCTTTAAGGCAGTAAAGTGTGTGATTGAGATGCACTTTAGTTATACACCCAGGTATGCACACTGAGGAAAGGCAAGAGGAAGATGCAGAGAGGAAGCTATTGCAGCTCGCTCTCTTGCTCGCTCCACATCTGGTGTGGTATTCACAGGACTGAGGCAGAGTGTGCACTAAGTGAGAGCTCACAAAAGATGAAGGGGCTTGAAAGCCATTGAACACACTTGGAAGTGATGAGTGAAGAAACAAAAGTTACACACCCAGGGAAGAGAAGGCCTGGTCAAACTCCATCGAGATCCCCACCTTGACCTTGAAGAGTCAGAGCAGAGTCAGGGAGACTTACACTGAGCCGTGGGGAACATTTGATTGTTAAAAATAGAGTGTCCAACAGGATAATAGTTCTCAATTATGGGCTATGTCAGATACCACATGAATATGTCTTCAAGGCCACCTCACATCATGGAAAGACTCCATGCCTTACAAACAAGAGGTCCAACACAAAGCACAGATAGAGGAAAGCAGTCTGGAACAGTGCCACCCCTGAGACAGGGTGTGGCTGAATATGTTCCTGTTAGATTGTTGCCATAGTGTGACACAATTTAAAAAAAAAAAAAAAGAGCACATACATATATCACATTTTAAGTCAGGGGACATGAAAATCTAAGGAAACATTTACAGTTAAGGATCTGTACCTTGGGCTGAAGAGATGGCTCAGTGGTTAAGAGCACCGATTGCTTTTTCAGAAGACCTGGGTTCAATTCCCAGCACCCATCCACATGGCAGTTCACAACTACCTACAACTCCAGTTCCAGAGGGGTCCAACACCCTCACATATGCAAGCAAAACATCAATGCACATGAAGTAAAAATAAATAAGTCATTAAAGAAAAAGAATCTATGTCTGTATAAATGGAGCTCCCTTCCCCAGTTTGCGTCCACCCAGAGTTCATCATTTTAAGAACCATGTTTGCAGATGTAGTCAAGATGAGGGCATACTGTCCTAACTCTGATAGGGTTTGTTTTGGAAGAAGGAGGAAATGGAGGCACAAGGCTTGGTGATGAAGGCAGAGTGGTAGGATGTGTCTTTGGACCAGGAAGGGTCGATGGCTATTGGCACACTGGGAAAAGACAAGAAGAAAGGCCTCTCTCACGCCTTAGAGAGAATGGCCTGACATCTAGATTTCAGAACTGGGAAAGCTAATTTCTTCTTTTGTCAACCTCCCTGCTAGCAGCAGCTTGCTCCAGCAACTACAGGAAACCAGTACAACATTCAATTGAGTAGGTAATTGTATTAAATCCATCAAATCACTGTTCCAGTTCCTCTCTTGATTTTCCCAAACATATTAAGAACTAGCCAGAGGAGCCACAAGTGAGATCAAAACCAGCATCTCTAGAGCAGATGTGGCTCTTTAGCAACATCTTGACACTCAGGGTACAGATGTGTCCCTTCATCACCCCCTGTGAGCAGGTCCTGCCACCCACACTGCAGATGAGTGGAAAGTGGAGGAGGCCCGGACAGCCTGCTTGAAGCTCATCTTCCATCATCTGCCCAAGAAGATTATGGGAGACAATGTTCTTTTCTGAGAAATGAGCTGGAAGCTGGCTTTTCACAGAAAAAGACAAAGTGAGGTGAGAGGTGGTCTCCCTGGTGACACTGAAATCATAACTTCTCATGGAAACCTGGGGATGTACCAAGTCTCACAGAGTACAGACTAGTACCCTGAGAGTGAGTCCAGCCAAATGAACTGAACTGTCTTTAGCCAAAAATTACATCAGCAAAGACAAATAATCACATAAATTATAATTCAAGATAGGCAACACTACAAATACCCAGAAAAACAAAATTATTTTAACATTTTACCTCTTCTGAAACGGATGTATCTCATTGTAATTGCTATAATTGCTATGGGTATACCTTTCTAGTGGCATGTAAAATCATGCTACTTTTACAGTCAAGGGAATTTTAGGCTCTGTGGAATCTAGTATACAAACAAACAAACAAAACCCAATGAGAGCTCTTTAACAATTGCAAAAGAAAATGCAAATGCAACATACATATACACACACATGTGAGCCCATGCACAGACACACACACACACACACACACACACACACACACACACACACACGAGATGGGTCTGAACTAAAGAACAAAAGAACAACTCAATAGTTGCACATGATACCAACCTCGAGATCAAGGTTTTCGGGGTGCACTTTTTCCTCAGTTTCCAACTCTGTGCCATTCTGCTTTGGAAGGGAAGGCGTGGTGGCAGAGTCTTCACTCAGAGACTGTTCTTTGTCATCTGGTCTTCCCCCCTCCTCTGTGGGGCTGCTCTTTTTTATACTTCTGGGCAGAGGTGAAGGCTTAAAGTGGTCATCTGCTTCACAACTGCTGCTGTTTTCTCCTGTAAAGGAAACTTTCAGCTGAGTGTGTGAAACTGACCTGGGCTTCGGCTGCCCTTCTGGAGAGGCCGCAGAGCCCGGAGCATCGGGAAAGCACACACTTCTCCACAAGCTCCAAAAAAAAAAAAGCACAGGTTCCATAATCAAAATCTAAAAATATTGTTGTCATCCTGTAGTTAGCTGGTCTAATTTAGTTTTATAAAAAGCTAATTTCAATTTTCTGAGTTCTCTTAGTATCAAAAACATTTCCCAAACATAAACCATCACACAACCTTCCCTCTGGGAAATGAAACCTCTGCAGAAGCCAGACCCTCCATACAACACTAGCCCTTTTAACCATTCATCAACAAGGTCTCCATCCAAGGACTTTGTAGGTAGAGAAAATATGAGATTCTAAATAAGTAAAATGACAAAATAAAGGTAAGTGCTATTACAATCATGCAGAAAGTAATGCTCGGCTTCAAGGTCCAGGAGGCCTCTTGCTGAAGGAGAGGATGCAAAGATGACTTGCTAAAGAAGTAGGTTCCTTGGCTGTTATTGTGGTACCAAGTGGGCTTAGCACTCAGCGGTTCTGTGGTACAGAGTGTGCTTAGCACTCAAGAAAAGTTTAATGCCCAGCATCATAAATACAGAATAGAAATTTAAAAAAGCAAACGATTGATTTAGAGGGCATGGCTAAAGCCAAGAAGTACATTCTTTTTGAAATGAATGAATCCGCTATGTATTCATCCATTCATCTTAATCCTTCATGACTTCTCTGTGCCAGGTACTTTTCAGGACCTCCAGCCTCAGTTTTTACCCTTCAAACAGAAGGATCCAACAACTTAAGTGATTTTAGGCCGCAATTCTATTTCCAATAATACTGTCGAATTCTCAAGAAGAAAAGTAAGTTCTATTCATTTGAACTGCCTTGCTTCAAACATAACAAGATTATATACTTAGATGGAAACATTGAAGAGGATTCTGCTGCCACCTTGTGGTTGCAACATAGTATTGTCTTGCTCATTTTAATTTCATCTTCAGCTTCCCCACCCACTTTTCCCAGCAATTAAAAGGTCTAGTTTTTTTCAGCCCATGTCTATGTAGTGCAGGCTAGCCTCAAACTCACAGCAATCCTGATGCCTCATCATCTAGAGCGATAGGACTTCATGTCTGCATTAACACAGCAGGCTCTAGCAGAGCTTTAAAATGGAGGAAGTGGAGAATTGATTGACACCTTCGTAAACTGGTAATTATACACATCCAGCTGATCCAGACTAATTTTTGCTGTTGTATTCATATTTTTTCTCTGACTTCTGTTTTTCCTTTATTCATTTATTTCTCTGGCTGGACAAAGACTTTATCAGTATCCAATATTCTCAGTCCTCATATTTTCTTAATAACTAAGTTCATCTATGTTCCTTTCTCTCTGTGATCCCATCCCTACAGCTGAAAGGCTTGGGTTAGAAGTGAGTTCAGGTTCCTGATACTGACTGCTGACATTTGATGACATTTTACAGTTACTTCAAAAGATTCTCTAAACAATACTGTGGGACAGGAAGCAGGAAAAGCAGGTTTTCACTCCTACTCATGAAGTGGCTGAAGCCATTTGCCCAAGTCACACACAACTAACATGTGGCAGCGTTTTTAACCAGTGTCTTAGACACTTTTCCAGAGGTCCCTGCTGTACTTTTGTCCTTCTAAAGTTCCTAGAGTTATTAGGGAGGGAAGGACCATTCCTTCACACACATCTGTAATGAAGTTTCATTTGACGTCACCCGTGCCATCTACCATGGTAAGTATGAAATATCTGACAGCACTACAGGCGACAGTGTGATGGCAGGGGGATTTTATGCAGCTCGGCATCAGATAGTTCTTCCTTTATAAAACAGAAAGAAAGATGACCAGGAGACACAGTCGCACTGCATCTTCCACAGGCTCCCGGAGTACCACATGGCTGTACTCTATCCCTCCTCCCCAAGGTCACTTGTTTAGCAGATTAGTGGAGAGTACTATAGTACTTCCCAATCACACCAGGAAGCTACCATCAGGAAACTAGATTTTGGCTGATAGTCCCATTCAATAGACCAAAGAAAGATTCTGTTTTCTTAAGAAGAGTCTGGAAGCTTCATTAACAGCAAAAGCCAAATACTGGTATAGAAACACTTCCATGCTTCGTGGACCTGAACTTGAACCTAAGGCCTTGTGCATGCTAGCCTCCTTACACCCCCAATTTGTAGATGACTGTTTTCATCTTGGAAACACGTGAAGATTAGAATAGATTCAATGCAGCCCCATATCCACAAACAGAATTGAAGCTAATGAGCCAGAAGTTTGGGAGCTACATCTGTGGGGGACCTCAGCAGCTCTGGCTTTCTCTCAAGCCCCAGCACAGATTCCAGAGTGAATATGCATTGGGCTTTTGTGCCTATGGTTACTAAGGTATAGCTGGAAAGCTGGAAAGGTAAATACTAGTTACCATAAAATAGCACTGTGTGACAGGTTATCTTATAACAAATGTTCTGCTAATGTAATTACAGTAATGTCCTAAGTTACCTGACAGTGTACTTCCTTTGATGGGAAGGGCTCTGGGCTTCGGCTTTATTGTGATGATCTCTTTTCCAACTTCTTGATCATCATTTTGGGATTTGGAAAAGGGGTTTTCAGTCCTACTGTAGTGGACATCAGGTGGCACGTCTTCACTGTTCTGTGTGACATACTCCTGCCCATCTTTGGCTATCTCACTGTTGACTTTCTTGGTTTTCAAAAAAGACAGTTTTGGAGAACTCTTTTCCTCGTCATCGGATATGTGAAAATCATTCGCTTTTTTCCTAACTAGATTTTCATCTGTTGAGGTATCTGAAAATTCACCCAAAGAAACTGAAAAACAAAGAAAAGGTGAATTCAAGAGTGTATCTTAAAATTCTAAAGGCTATATTCCATTTCTTTGAAAAGCAGCTATCTTCAGGAAGAGAAAGGACTATAAATTAATCAACAACCCCAATGAAGTACATATTTACTTTGTAACTCTTGAAAACAGCTAATCTAGGCACACTATGTTGGTATTCATGAAATAAAATTTGAGTTTCACCAACATATTAAAATTATTTACCAAGTGCCTACATCACTGTGTTTATTCTGGGTTATGTTCCTCAAAGGTTGCTCAATGTAGCACCCACCCCAAAATACTGAGGTCTAATAAAGAACACCAGCTTAACAAGACACACGTGACTTAACAACTATTCAGAATATTTTTACAGGAACATTTATTCAGTGACTATTACAAAGTAGCACGTTTAATTTCTTTATGCTTATACCTGAAACCTAAAGTGGAATGTTTTACTCACTTAATAGAAATCAAGTTAAACCAAAATAGTGGATATTTCAACATGGAGGGTCTATTTTTCAAAATGACCAGCCCACTTTGGTGGTTTGAATGTGAATGTTTCCCATAGCCCAGGTACTTGAACACTTGTTGGTCCCCGGTTGGTGGCAGCGGGTGGTGAGAGGGTGCTGCCTTGTGGAGGAAGCAGGTCACTGAGGACAGCCTTTGGGAGCTCACAGCCTTCACCCACTTCCAGCTTGCTCTCTGCCTCCTGTCTGCTATCCTTACCTTGCAGCTCCCAGCTCCTGCTACCCATGCCTGCAACTTTCTGCCATGCTGCCCCCACCACGCGGGACTCACATTTCTCTGACACCATAAGCCAAAGTAACCTCTTCTGTTAATCATTTTGGCCGTGGTGTTTTCTCACAGCAACAAAAGAGTAACTAATGCAGAGAGTGGGCTGCTGCTGTTAGAAGCCAGATCACACTGGTTTTGCAGGAATGTGGAATACCATGGAACTCTGGATTAGAATAGCATTGTAAGGAGAGCTTGAAAGTCCATTCTAGTGGGATCCTGGAAGACTGAAGTCCTGAGCATTACTGGGACTGTAGAGGGCCAGCTCAAAAAGTTTCAGGAGGAAGCGAGGACTTTAACAGCATCTGGGCTAGAGGCCATTCCTGTGATATCCTGGTGAAGAATCTGAACGCCTTCTGTCCTTGTCTTATAATCTTCCCTGAGGATAAATGTGAGGATTTTGGTTTTGTCAGTTTGACACAAACTAGTGTATCTGGGAAGAGGAAGCCACACCAGGAGAATTGCCTCCAACATAATGGCCTGTGGGCCTCTCTATAAGGCAAATTCATGATTAGTGATTGATATGGGAGGGTCCTGCCCATTGTGAGCAGTGTCATCCCTAGGCAGGGAGTCCTGACAGTGTAAGAAAGCAAGACAAGTAAGCTGAAGAACAGTAAGCCACTAAGCAGTGTTCCTTCATGTTCTCTGCCCTGACTGAGTTCCTGCTCTGTTATACCTCAGTGATCAGTTTTTATGAGGAAGCTTAAGCCACATAAACCCTTTCCTTCCCAAGTTGGATTTGGTTAATGTTTTAGCACACCAATAGAAAGCAAACCGAACACTAACTTAAAAAGCAATGGACTAATTTCTTTGACAGAGGAAGCTTGAAGATAGTGAATCTGTGGCATCGGTATTGCTGATCTTGCTTATAGGTATAGAAGAAAAATGTGTGAGGCAGCCTGGAGAGAAAAAGAGCCCTAGAAGGCTTAATGTTGCAGCACAGGCTGAAGAGATCAACACTGCTAGGGGTGGCTCCCAGCTTGGCAAAGGGACAAAGCAAAGGGTGCCCTCGGGGCAAGACCCCTCCCCCTCTAAGTAACTACATTTCCAACTGTGAAAGAGCTAAGGAATTCTGCTTCTAGAAATCAATGGGATAAAACAAACAAACAAACAAACAAACAAACAAAAACCTGTGACTCAAGGGAGTGAGAGTCCACCCCAAGCTGACAGCCAAACTTGGCAGAGTCATCCGCTTGGTAAGCACTTTGGGGGGAATTCGATTCAGATATGTGAGAGGATCATGGCTTCTCCTCCTATGGTTTGTAGAGAGATCCCTAGGCTAGACAACTTGTGGCCCAGAAGTCTCTGCTTGAAGGCCCTGAGAAGGCGAAAAACCATTGTGTGAAATTATGAAACTGAAACTTGGGTTGTGGTGGGGACCACAAGATGTTGGAGATGCTGAGCCATGAGATATCTGCCAAAGAGAGTTACATTCAGGATTAGAACCAGCCCAAAGGAGAGATGAAAAGTTTAAGGGCAGAGCCAAGTGGAGTCCCAGACACTAGATAGGAAGTTATGCGGGAGTTCAAGTTTACCCTGCTATGTCTCTTTCAGTCTCGCTTTAGTTCAGTATTTCCTCACTATGCCCTTCCACCCCATTCCTCTCTTGGGATAGTAATTCATATCCTGTCCTGTCATATGCTGGAAGCATGTAATTTCCTTTTCTGGTTTTTCAAGCGGTTACAATTAAGAGACTGCCCTAAGTCTCCAAAGTGACTGGACTTTGAAACAGTGTTGAAAATGTTAAAGACCAGGGGGATTTTAAAGTTGAATTAAATATGTTCTACATTGACCATGAGTTCCTGGGTTACAGAAAGTAGAATATGCTGGCTTGAATGAGAATGTTGCCCACAGACTCAGGTACCAGCCTCCTTGGTCCCCAGTTGGTGGCATTGTTTGGTGATCAGGTATTAGCCTGAGGAAGAAGTACATAACTGGGGGGACAGGCTTTGACAGTTTGTTTTCTGCTTTTTGTTTGCTGCCTTATTACAGAAATTGTCTCCCAGCTTCTTGTTCCTGCCATCAGGCCTTCAACTTTCACGGCTCACCTCCCATAATGGACTTGCATCCCTCTAAAACTATAAACTAAACTCTTTCTCTCTAAGTCACTATGTTTTACACCAGCAACAGAAAAGTAGCTATTGTACCACAATTCCAAGCCCAAATCTGACTGCATCAAGCATTACAAAGTGCTCCTCCGGAGCACCAATATTTGATCCTGACAGCTCTGGTTGCTGTCTAATTGTAGGATTCTTAAAATTGAACTTACAGATAAAACTACTTCCCAATACAGCATATTCATAAGGCATCGTTTTACTGTAGATATGGTAATAATGTATTTATATATTTTTAAATTTACATTCAGAAATAAGCAAAAATAATTCATAAGCTTCTTGACTATTTTGAGTGGCTTTCTAACTCATTGCACACACAATTCTGAAACTAGTGAATTCATAACCATTGTATTATCATAAGAAGTTAAGGGGGTAGTGAAATGTAACTAACGAGGCAAAACCGGTTCATTTGTATATTCCCTTTCATACCAATCTCATCACTGTCGAAGTCATCGGAGTATTCAGAACTTCTCTGCCTGGCTGACCGGGCTGTGATTGCTCTGATCAGCTCATCCTGAAATGAGATCAGTAAAATCAATTCCCACCCAAGCAGGGATGTCTTATATTTAGAAGTAATTTTTTAAAAATTCAAATTTAAATTTCATTCACCTGCATTCACTCTAAGCCTACTTTGTGCCATGTTTCCAAGTCATCAAATTCAGTGAAGAACATTGAAATTAGAGCCATCTCCTATGGGATTTGTAGTTAAACAGTAAGTGACTGCTAGCATGTGATAAATTAATTGAAGGCTACGATCTGAACTAATAATGCTAATTAATAACGGGGCATTAATGTGGATAGGATGTAGTAGAAACTGACATTTTGATAGAGGCTGGTACATTTTGAGGGAGGTAGGGGCTTGGGTTTGACAAACATGGTAGGCACACAGCCTACTACTGAGCCACACCTCGCTCAGCCTTGCAACTGGCACTTTAAGCCTACTGCAGAGATGGGCATAATCAATACTGCAAAAGTGGATGAAGAGTTTGAAACTGTAGTGATCCAACAGTAAGTATTTTTTACACTTACAACAGAAAACTGAAGTTTAGACAAAGACAGACTCTGACGTGGCTCTTTTACTTTCAACTTAGAAGTCAATACTGAAGAAAGGGTAGCCACAGAGGTGGGTGTTTTACTACTAGTGTCCAAAGTTAACCTACAACATAGCAACTCGGAAGCAAGAAGCTCCTCCCACTTCTCCCCAACCTCCCCGCAAATCAGTAAGTGCCCAGTCCTAGAACACTGACAACCAAAACGCTTTGACATATTTTACCTGAAAAGAAGTTCTCTTGGTGGCCTTTGGACTCTTGGTATATGCCAAAGTTGTGCTGAAGATTTCATCCGACATAGTGTATTCTCTTTCCTCTACTTTTATACAATTGTTGATAAATAATTGGAACAATACATTCAGCCTTTGATGGTGGCTGAAAATTACACAAATATATAAAAGAATTAGACGTTTATACATGATCGGGATACTCTATTCCTGGAATTAGTGACCTCCCTGCCAAATAAAGAGGCCTCTCTGAACACTGGCCTATATCTTCTCCTAAAAATACAAATGGCATTTTACTAATGATATGACATTCTCAAACTTGTTCTCACGAAAAGAAAATAACAAGAGAAAGTTACTGCACTACAACTATTTTAAGAATGAGTAAACTGCATGAGCATCAAATGTTGCCAAATATTTTCCCCTTTCCATTATTAAACAATATAGCATTGCATATGGCAGCATTTCTTATTTCTAGGCGAGACCAAGAGGACTGTCAGCGTCAAGGTTATATGACCCCTTCCCTGACCCAGAAAAAAAAAAAAAATGCCTGGCATATAACCGTATTCAAAAACAATGCTTAACCACAAACAGCAGCGACATTTTCCCAAGCCATCTATTTGCTCTCACACAAAAACCACACAAAGACATCTCAACCCCAGGCTGCATTAAAGTCGCTGCTTCTCGCGCGCGATGATGGAGGCCCATTCGGATCGTCGGCCACCGCCCAGAGTTCCCGGGCCGGCCAGGTGGCGTCCGTGTCCCCAGCTCCGCGCGGCTCCTGACCCAGCACGCGCCAGGCCCGCGCACACCCAGCGCGGTCCCCAGGGCTCCTCCGCGCCCCATGGCCCGCGCCTCCTGTACCCACCCCGCTCTGCTTGCGTCCCGGCTCCTGTGACCACTTGAGAACCCAGCGGCTGGGATCTAGCACCGATGTCGCTCCAGGCCAGGGCCTGGAAGTCTGTGAAAACAGGTATTGGAATAAGCAGGAGGCGGGGCAAAAGATGGAGGCGGAAGGCGGTTGCTAGGCAACAGCGTCCCCGCCCGGGAGGAAGTGACTTCCAACCCGCCTGGTCTCTTGGGTACCCAACGCCGCCTTTCCGCCTACGACGCTAGGACAACTGCACAGACCAAAGGAAGTGACATCACCGGTATAAGTGTTGGGAGCTCCGTGCGATTGCAGCCTATACGCAATGGCTGTTGCCTAGGAAATAGGACCGCCCTCTGCCATCAAGACAAGGAACCTGGATTTGCTCCTGCTCAGAAAGAGCCCTTGTTTATATGCGGGTATAGCGTGACCGTGACGCAAAGCGTCATTTTTACATCAAGGACGTGGAATCTGTGAATCTGAGCAGTGTCAGCAGACCGGACAGAGTAACGTGACGTTTGCAATCTTTGGAGCCAAACTGAATGTTTGATTCTTGGCGTTTGCAAATTAAGGTCTCTATTCTTTGATATCTTCTGAAACTAATAATTATAATGATGCCCGACTTAAAGGGTTGCTGTGAATACTGAATGCAATATGTAGTGAAATATTGGTAAGTGTCTAGAATTGCATTCGATTAATATTATATATGAGTGCTTCTTGTAACTAATGCAGTACACAGCGGGGCTTGAACCAAAGTATCCCATGTGCACACAGTAGAGAGCCTGTTTCACATCTTTGATGGAAAGTTCCTTTCTATGTTAAGCAGATAATCTATTAAAAGTCAGCCAGCAAAGCCGGCCGGTGGTGGTGCACACCTTTAATCTCAGCAATTGGGAGGCCGATGCAGGAGGATCTCTGTGAGTTCGAGGCCAGCCTGGTCTACAGAGCTAGAGGCAGGATAGGCTCCAAGGCTACACAGAGAAACCCTATCTCAAAATAACCAAAAAAAAAAAAAAAAAGAAAAAAAAAAGAAAGAAAGAAAGAAAAGAAATGAAAAAGAAAAGAAAGAAAATTGTCAGCCAGCAAATAAAAATGGGCAAGTAGGCTGGAGGACAATGTACTGCTGAAGGAATCAAAATCGTTGTCATTTAATTATCATAAACAATATTAATACTCATAACACTTAAAATTTTTAGGTTATACAGATTTCATCTATTTTTAATTTGAAAACAAGTTTGTCAAGATTAATTCATTGGCTAGCAGCTAAACTAGTTTCTTTCTCTAACTCCATAATAACTTAGTAATTATTTATAAAGAAATAACACCAAAAGGTAGATTTAATAAATCAGCTCATAGAAAATCTAAATGTACATAAAAATAAATGCAACTTTCATAAGAAAAATGTTTCTCAATAATAGTTTCAATGATCATTTTTAAAAGCTCAGATTATGTTTTTCAACTTGTTCCTGTTTGGTAAATTTGATTGGCTTAATTTTGTTGTTTTTAACTATTTTTAAGTGGGACCAGGCATGATGGCACTTACCAATAATCCTGGCATTTGGGAGTCAGGTGCAGGCAGATCTCTGAGTTGAAGACCAGCAGAGTCAATAGAGCAAATTCTAGGCCATCTAGAACTACATAGTGAGACCCTGCCTCAAACTAAATAAATAAAGCATATCAATCAATAAATAAAAAGCTAGAGAAATGGCTCAGTGATTAACAGCACTGGCTGTTCTTCCAGAGGTCCTGAGTTCAACTCCAAGCACCCACATGGCTGCTCACAACTGTCTATAGCACCCATATACATAAATAAAGAAATCTTAACTACTTTAAGTGAATATTTGTACAAGAAAAAGATTTTTCTACTCTCACTTGTTATTGTTAACTTTTCTAACCTATATTTTATTTTAAAAAGTATGGTTCTATTAAAGCTCCTGTGTCCCCAGGAAGCAGGTACTCAAATTTTTCTCATATGGGAAGAATTAATTTTTAGATAGTGTTGAGATCATTTTACTCTTGCCAAAGTTAGGGCTGTGTTCATTTTTCTCTTATCCATTTGGATGATAAAACTTTAATTTAGGCAGGACTTATGGATAGAAAATTACAAAAACATTAGTGAAGGGACCGGAGAAACGACATAACAGTGAACAGGGAATCCTGCTTTTCCAGGGGACCCTAGTTTGGCTCCCACCAACTACATCAGGCACATCACAACCACCTTCAACTCTGACTGCAAAGGATGCAACAGCTTCTTTGGACCTCCACTGAAGTGGCATGCGTTTACACAGACACACACATGTACACATGTACACGCGCACACACACATATACACACACACAAATAGTCTTCAAATGTTTAAAATCCCCAGAAATTATTAGTCTTCACTTAAATGAAGCTCTTGTCTTACTATAGAATGCATCTGATTTTTGTTTCAATTTCTTAATTGGTGTTAATAATTAGTAGGGTACATAGTTATGCTATGGAAAGCTACAGGAAACAAAGACAGTTCACCTAAAATGGTTGGTTTCTCTACAGGATGTAATGTCTTTTCATTACTTTCACATTATAAGCTACAGAAATTTTAGTGCTATGCTTTATTTTTCAAACAGCTTGAGTATATGTTAAAGTAATGCTTTATAACATCAGAATCATGGTACCATTTTTTTTTCTAATGTGTTATAGACCCATGATGGTTTAGTGAAATTAGTTCATGAATAACTAAATGAAACATTAACTGACAGACAACATCAAAGCACCGCAAAGGCTCACAGACAACCCACTTTTACAAAGAAACTCTGCAGCACGCAAAATAAGTCTCAGTAGCGTTTAAGTTTTCTCTAAATTACATATTATACTTTTATATGTGTCTTGAGTTTAGTACCTTCATGTCTAAGCTTTGGGCTCATGCCTTTGTTAAACTCACATGAACGGCATATTCTGAGTCAGACTTTGAGAGTGCAAATGGAGAACACCAAGTTCCTGGCTCCCAATAGGACATGGCTGCAAGGCTGAGTAAGTTCACAATGGGAATCTGTCTGGTGGTTGCTCCCCACCGGCACAAAATGAGAGGCTCTAAAGAAAATTCTTCCTGTCAGTATCTCAGTCTTTACAGATGCAAGCATGAGTAGAATACCAAACGTAGGGCATGAGTAGAATACCAAACGTAGGAGAGAACACAGGATCAGAAGTCATGTACATGGAGCCCATGTGACAGTGGTTTTGAGTGGTTGAGAATAGGTGTGGCCTTTTGATACTGGTTGAAGTGTGCTTGTGGTGTGTATTCAGCTTGTACTCTCTGTTGGGCTTGGTGTGTGTGTGTGTGTGTGTGTGTCTGTGTCTGTGTGTGTGTCTCTGTGTGTGTGTTTCTGTGTGTCTGTGTGTGTGTTAGAGATCAGATAAAAATTAAAAAGGAGCAAGGGTCTGTGCTTACAGCCATCATGGGATTATGGCTACAGCAGCCTCTGGGCACTGGATAGTGAGCTATGCATGAATCTCCATGGCTGCTGATGAATGAAGGCTGAGCTCAAATATAAGTATCTCGACAGCTGGGGAAGTATGTTCATATAGCCAGAGAAACTTGACATCACTACTTTGAAAGAAATGTCAACATGTCAAAAATCTGAATTCACTTTTGTCAACCTTAACCTTCAAAACAAATAATGCATTGCTCTGTGAAAAAAAAAAGTTTCTGCATGGTTGTGTGATATTACTGAGGACAGCCAGAAGCATCAGCTTGACAAATAACACCTCATACAAAAAATACTTCTTCAGGACATCTAGCTAGCACCTGCCTGTTGAGACTGGAAATGATACCACCCTTTTTATTACTGATGCTAAAATTATTGTTTCAAAATACCCCATTTTGATCCTTTACCCCAATGTCCACCTTTACCCCCATGTCCACCTTTACCATAATGTACATATTCCTGTGGCAATGTTCTGCTATTGCCAAATAATTTCTTTTTGTTTTTAAAGAATCTAACTGTCAAGTATTACTATGCACCATTGCATTTTACATAGAGAGAGCTGAATTATTTATACAGCAAGAGGAACATGATTATTTATTCTAAAACAGAACTCATCATCTTGAACAAACTGCCTTTGTTGTTAGGTTAACATCCTAAGTCATTTGTCACTACAGCTGTTCTAGTTAGACACATGGTCTGAGTGGATAATAGAACTATTGCTGATTATGCTGGGTCTGGTATAATTCTTTCTACTTTGCTAATGTTAATTTTAACCTTTATCTACCCTTATGAAATATCTACTTTTTATATA